TCGTTGTCTTTGACGGAGAACATGTCTCGGATGTGGAATGGCAAGTACAACCGTCCTTAATCCTTCGCCTGTGTTCTTGTACGTGGATCGGTATCTGGGCCTGGACCAGTTTTGAGGGCATCCACTCTGTTTCCAAATATGTGATGTAAGAACATATTTTGTTGCAGGTAGTGACGTTTTGAAACCTAAAACCAGACGTCCACATGTAGACGCATAAACGGAGGATTCGCAGATCTTCACTTCGGATTTTGACAGAATCGTTTTTAATGCCGTAAATCTGCGTGTGGACGACAAATCGTAGAAAAATATCTTACCCTGCTACGTGTGGACGAGGCCTAAAAAAAGAGCCGTGAGTAACTCGGCTGCGACCAACAGTCACATGACAAATGTCGGGGCTTTTTAGCTGAACTCGGCTGAACTGCAGGCAGTGTTTACACAGAGCAGACAGGAGGCAAGTCTGGGAACAAACACAAATGTAGGCAGTAAAATATCTACGGTATGTGGAGCCACCATGTATCTTCTAGCATTTCTAGCACTTGTGACCATTTTATCTTCAATTTTGTTAAATAAACAATCCCTTTTTATGATTTATGGCAGTATAACTGTGTCACACTGCATAACAGACATTTCTGCTCTCTTTCCAGCAACAGTTATTCATGCTTGTGCTGTTTCCATAGAGATGCAGGACTTTATATTGCAGTAAAAAAAAAACTGAGCCCACTGTGAATAAAAATGCAGCAAATAAAAAAAGCTCAACAATTGCTTGAGTACAGAGATGTTAAAAAAAGCTAAATCAGTTCTTAAAATTGTTATTATTAATTGTGTCTTGAGTGAATTCAGTGACTAATGCGGCTAAATGTTCTGACTCACGACCCAAAGTGGCGTCTAAATCGTTCCCGCTTCACGATTAAAAGGTTAATGTGGTTCATCGTCCCACCAGGAAGCTCACATTGTAACAAACAGGCAACAACAACAACACAGAACAAACTAACGCAGGAAATTTGCAAATATGTAAACATGTATGTGCCAAGGTAGAGGCTGCTCGTTGTAAAAGATTTGACATGTTTAGTTTCCGCATCAAGCAGCGAAACAAAAAGGGTCGAACAGATTCAGTCACTTCTGTGAGAGTGAATCAGGATCTTGGTAGAAAGCTCACAGAGGAAACTTTTCAGAGGAAGCTTCAACATGCACGCGTCTGATTCGTGACTCTTAATATTTTTGCTTAATTTTAAATCTTCTTTTATCTCCGTCAAGATAAACTTAACCAAAGGGATGCGGTATTAAAATTGATTTTGCAATCAGAAGCCACGTTTCCAAATAATTGTCAAAGCAAACTTTAGAAATGCCGCAAAATCATCGACGTCTTTGGAGCGAATAAACTAGATCGCGTAGAGCCGTCAGAAGGTATCGGCTACATGACTTTTACAAAACAACAAGCAGGAAACAAAACCAGTTGTTCGCCAGCTGACGAAAAATCTCAAAGAATGAAGAAGTAAAAACAGAACATTCTATGAAATTAAAAACGAAAGAAGTCTTCAGAAGCTGCTTTCAATTGGAGAAGTTGTCATTAGTCCGTCCTGTCAGCTGGTATCTGTCACGTTTCATGTTGTCTGGAGATGAAGACAACAAAAGAAAATGGGAACAGCTGATCCACCGTGGAAGATAAACATTCACTACATCTGAACTTATTCGGGAAAAAAAAAGGTGTTTCCAATTTCTGTTGAACTTTTTTCCCCCCCTAAAATCTGTTTTTTTTTGTTTGTTTTTTTGCAAAATTGGGGCCATTTTTTATTTTAGTTTTCAAATTTTGCAGTTTCCATGAACTTTTTCTGCTGCAAAACTTAATGATCAACTGATGTCAATGCTTGTAAAAACTCCATTTACATCAATGCCTTTTTGAAAGTGGACACACTGTCGGTTTTTACTGACTCCTAAAAGACCAAATTTGGTTTCTGTAAGAAAAATCTCCAACCCACTTTGGTGTCAATATTATGGGATGTACCAGCAGAGTTTTCTCTTTTAGTTTCGTGTATTTTCTCATGGATTATGTTTGGTTTTGAAAGATCACAAATGTTTCTCGTCAACACATCTTTTCCATTTATTCAATAGTTTTTCCATCATAAAGGCTGCAATCAGGTATTGAAAGTATTTTAACCTAAACGATGATATTTTTATGAAACTGAAGAACAACATATTTCTTCATCATTTCCTACAACGTCACAGTTGGAAAACAGCTTTCTTTGATGGTTTAGTTGTATATAAATGTCATATTTGAAGGCAAACTCCAGGTTTGACTTGCTTTTATTATTTACTTTGTATCGAGGTCAGATTATTCTGATTTATTCATATTATCTGCGTGTATGTATTTATTGTCTTTAGAGTTCTTCATTAGCATTAAAATGACTGCCTGTGTACCTCGACAAATGGACTAAAGTGGTAAATCATAATTAAACCTATTTCCTCCTGCACTTTTAGGTCTATAAAATGATTTAAAATATATCAATATTGACTGAAATTAAACATTTTATCCTGATAAAAACGTTCAGCTTCATCATCCAGCCCTCCTTGCAAGAGACAGAATTTTCAAAAAATTTAATCTGAAACAGGAAAGGTGTTTTTTTTAAGTTTCCCACAATGCAACTCAGTCGTGTCCTACTTTAAAGGCTTCCTGAATGGCTTCTTTTAAACCACACACCGCAAGTTTATAACAATCCTCTGCTCAAAGACTGTTAATGAATTACATTTTACAACAAAACAAAGCAAATGTAAAAATCAGGAAGTAAAAATTAAATCGAGTGCCACGTTACTCCAACACTAATGGTTCGATTATACAGCAAAATATAAGCAAAAATTACCCAATTTTATTTAGAAAATGTTCAAATGAAATGAATAAATACAATTTAAAAACAGAAAAAAGGAGCTTCCAAGATTTCAGACGACCCCGATGGCATCAAATCTACTTTTTCCAACTTCCAAAAGCTTCCTCCAGAAACCCTGCACAAAGGTTATCAGAGGCCGAGCAGTACTTTATGTTTAACTAAATTAGCCCCTTTAAGTATATCTGCACGTTGTCAACATCCTTCTCTTCCTGCTCCACCTTCCTTTCGCCGCCTCGCTCTCTAGTCTCACCTCTCCTCACCTTTATGTTTCCCTTCCTCTCGGTTTCCTTCCCCGCGACCAAAACATGGAGAACATTAGGGACACGTCGTGAACACCTCCATCACGCTAACCGGCTACTTCCCCTCTCTTACATGAACTGTCAACACGGATGACGCCAGTAAAACCCGTTGCAGTTGACAGTTATTGTCTGAAATGGAGAACTTGACGGCCCTGCCGGAGGGGCTCGGGGAGCCGTAATGAAGAGAATGTATTGTGAAAACGGGCCCATGCTGAGCAATTACAACCGAGCGCGAATGGAGCTGTGAGGGTTTTATTGACTGACCGGTGAAGAGGTCTCCGTTGCTGTAGGCCTTGCCGCGTCCCTCCTCATCGTTGGGCACGGCCGACACCTGCTTGGCCGAGGTGCAGCCCATGGCCTCACACTCTGAAGCCTCTCCTCATCGCACTCTCACCTGGGCGGGCGACAAAACAGAGACACTTTAAAATCAAACACGAGACAATGAACAACACTGCTGTTCTGTTTTTAGATATCTGCACGCTCTTGATCGGTTACAGTCAGTGGAAAAGGCTTCTCAGAACAGCTTCTCTTCAAAGAAAACACCCGAAGCTACGGATCTGGTATTACCAACACTTAACAGCACCGTGTTTAATGTCATTTGCTTCAGAATCGAAATAAAATCAAAAAGTACTCTCAGCAGCATTTTGGCCATCCTCTGTTTGGTTTTGATGCAGCACATTAAAGCAGAAACATTCCCTTCCCCTTCACAGAAGTGTTACAAACAGGCTCAGCGGAAATAAAAGGTTGAAGCAAACAGATTCAACAACACAGCAGCTGCCAGTACATGTAATGAGGGCAGGGACACAAACAGCCTGTGATTCATTATGATTGTCCAAACAATTAATACTACATGAATATTTTTTACTTTCTTACTCTGTATGTATTTTAAAATGTCAAAAGATTGCAACTAATTCCCACCGAAAGTTCAAAACCAAACAGGGCTGTCTTACTCCACAGTGTTATGTAAGAAAGATTGTGACGCCTCAACAGTTTTTTTTCTTTGATAAACTACCTAAAGCAGCACTGATTTATGAGTTTTGCTCCTAAGGGGTGAAACGGTCTGCAAAGATATATTAGCAACTTGAAGTTATGATTATGTTTTGAAAAACCTGCATTACCGGAGTTGTGACCTTGCAGCGTTTGCTTCTCTCCTGCTCTCTGTGCTCAGATGTTCATTTTGTCAACGGAAGCTTAAACGAAAGCTTTTCGTTGACGACCCTTTTTTCCACTAATTTGTAACAAGAATAAGAAATATTGACAACAAAAATTAAAACGAAATCTCTGTTCATTATCAATTGACGAGTAAAGACGTGACGATAAAGATGGCCTGCCGGACAATCTGGATTGCAACCATCCTCTATGACAGTGTTTCTCAAAGTGTGTGGCGCCCCCCCGATTCAAATTTTAACAGCGATCACAGTACAAAAAAAAAAACAAAAAACTCTGCTAACAGAAAACCTTTCAACTTGGGCAAATGAGTGTAGAAAGGTTTTTGTCCTCTGAAGGGTGGCCTGACAGAAAACGCCTGAGAACCACTGGTCTAGATGATTAAACACATAGTTACAGGGATGCTTACAGTGGAGGTTTTACTACCATGACAAACATCCTTCTGCAAAATCTATGACAGTACAACAAAACTGTCAGACTAAAATGAGGCAAAAAAAAAAAAAAGAAATGAGACTAAAACTAAAATTGATTTTCCCAGACTAAATTTGAACTAAAACAAAATAAAACTAAAAGTCTAAAATGTGTCTTTAACTAAATCCAGTCTTCAGTGACTGACTGAAATTAAATTTTAAATTCTTGTCAAAATTAACACTTCACAAATGTACATTTTCATACAACTAAATGACCTCTAAGCCGTTCTCATCTACATATTTTTTAAGTGGACATTGGAATGAGAATGAACCAGTGACAGAACATCAGGACTGCATGTTAACCAGCAGTGACTTTAGATCCTTTTCCAAGCTGCCGCTCTGCAGATAAAGTACTGATTTTATAACTGCAATGCCATTTGACGAGTAGTGCTCAGAGAGAAAGTTAGAAGTGAAAGTCATGGTCTAGTGCTGTCAATCACAGCAGCATAGAGAGTTTCCTTCCTGAAGGGGGCGTGGCCAGCAGCAGCTCAGCTACACTTAAAGCTGCAGACACTAAAACAGCACATTTAGAGCAACGGTAAAACCACATAGTCATCATGAAATGAACTATACTGAAAGTATTTTGAAGATGTTCTGGGTCAAATGGGGCACAATAAGAGGCCTTGAAGTCATTTAGTCCACTGTTCTTGGTGATCATTATCTGCAGGTCGACTCATTTCATTTATCTTAAAAGCTCTACCTCAGAAGCAAAAAAAACTGTTTTTCATTCCAAAAAAAATTAAACTAAAAGCCTCTAAACCAGCAGGACAGCTGACACAAATCTGCGAACGCCACTGTCAGTCAATCACACACACACACTGTCAGTCAATCACACACACACACTGTCAGAGGCATTACACTATAGATAGTCTCGGTGTCACTCACACATGCCATATGCTGTCATTGACAGAGCCCATCTGACTGCTGCCAGTTACAAAACACACACAGACGCACACACACACACACTCACCGGCAGCTGATGATTACCCATCAACAAAATTAAATCTGCGGCACCGGTACACCAGCGAGAGGAGGAGGTGGCGGAGAGTGCTGAATGAAGAAGAGGCAGAAAACACAGAGGAGAGAAATAAACACAGAGAACAGGGAGGAAAGTAGGTGGGTTGAGACGACGAGGGACGAGGTGAAGGAAAGGACGGACAAAAGGTGAGATAGAAAGGAGGCCAAAAGAGAGAGAGAGACGAGGGCAGAGCTTCAAAAGAGCGCCGCCTGGCCCTCCTCCCTCCTTCAGGACGTTTGAAGTTGACAGGAGGCCAGTGTTTACTTCTGTGTTTAGGCTGCGGCCAACCAGCCTCCATCTCTGTGGACACCACACAAAGCGCCAGGTGTACAGGAGGCGGGGAGCGGCCGCTGTGGTCGGTGTGTATGGGCACTATATGACTGAACTGCATGGATGACCAGTTTATTGTGGTTGTGTAGTTATCGGACAGCTTTGCAAAAGTTTTCACGCGTGATAGTGGAAAAAAGCTTCCATCCATCCATTGTTCTGTGTTTATACAGGTTGCATCACGGTGGCAGCGGGCCAAGCAGGGCATTCCCCATGTTTCTATCTCCAGTGATGTTTTCTAGCTCCTCCTGGGAGATCCTCAGGCGTTCCCAGACTAAATGAGATATGTGGCCCATCTGTATGAAATCAGTCGCATTGAGCCTTGGGCTCTAGCTGAGAGACCGCCCGAATTACGCTAACACATGATAAAATATTGATTTTGGGTTCATTACTTGGATCGGTCCATTTAGTTGTTTTCTACATGTAGGTAACATAATATTACAGAGCATGCATGAGCAGTAACACCAGAAAGAAGAATCACTTGTGCTTAGGCGTCGCGAGCAGTGTGTCACTGCCAGCCAATCATGTCCCGTGATTTCCATCATGTGGTAGCAACACGCCGCTTTTGTCATAATAGCCCAAGGTGCAATGCAACTGATTTTGTGCAGATGGGTCACAACCTTTCCAGTGAGTTCTGGGTCTACCTTCTCCAAGTTGGACGCACCAGAAAAACCTTC